TCCCTCCCAGACTAAAATTCGCCCTCTCTCCCTCTCTTCCCTTCCAGACTAAAATTCACCCTCTCTCTCTTCCCTCCCAGACTAAAATTCACCCTCTCTCTCTCTCTTCCCTCCCAGACTAAAATTCATCCCCCCCCTCCTCTTCTCCCTCCCAGACAAAAGTTAATTTAAGCCTTTCAGCTCAACTGTGGTCTGAATTGTCATTAGCAGCCATTTTCTCCATGTGAGTATAAAATGGAGGGACATTTCCTATGATTAATTATAACAGAAAAAAACATGCAGTTCATTAAAACGACGATTGGTTCCTAGTCTGGTGAATGACTTCGCTACAACGGAGGTAAAAATAGTATCTGAATCTTTAAAATGCCTCTGAAATGGTGCAACAGAAACTAACAAGGCCTGCTCCCACTTTTACGTTGGGACTAAGAAATTAATATTTCAACAGCAATAGTGCTTTGGAGGGGAACTGCTGAACTAGTTCCTTTCGCTGCCCTGGTGAGCTGGAATAATTGTCATACACTATTATACAGGTGTCGGAACAGGAAAGCTTTCTATCAGCTCTGAAGTGGTTCGATTGTTGTCCCTCTTAACTTTTTAAAATACCACCCAGGCCTTCTCCTCCTCTCAACCCTTTCACCGATATGCGACTGTGAATGAAAAATCAGCAACACCAACCATTAATTCCCAGTCGGCATCGTTGACCAGAACCAGGATACCAGGCCTCCTAGAGAGAGAAAAAGACAAGGGAACAAACAGCAGCAAGGTCAGTCAGCAGATCCATCAGGTCTATTGTGGGGTGACTGTCTGTGTATGTGTGTGTGTGTGTGTGAGAGAGAGAGATACAAATACAGCCAATGGTCAATTTCACATCTTCACAATTTCTGGGTTAATTTCTGACCTCTTGGCCTGACCAATCAATTGATCTTTGCAAAATGAAGATGTAGAGATTAGGCTTGCAGCCCAGGCTAATCCATCCCCTAGTGTGAGACAGGTTCACTTTTTCATTCATTTGGGAATGGGTGTGTGTACGGAGGGGACGGAGGGGAAATATATTTTAGAATTTTTTAGAAGAAAAATTTCCCATTGCGTTGTTGCTGAATGTATTTAAGTCCCTACGAAAGAGTCGCTGTATAAGGGAGACACAGCCCATTTAAAGGGAATGCCAGGTTAGAGGGAGAGCCCAGTTCAAGAGAGAAGTCAGTTAAAGGGATAGCCAGGTTAAATCGATAACTAAGTTAAGGTGAGCTCAGTTAAAAGGATAGCCCAGTCATAACTCCACTAGAGCCTGTTCCTGATTTTCCCTGCTCCTTCCAGTGAGGAACACCCTTTTTAACCACAGTTTTGGAAATGAAATCGTTATGTTTGGGATTACTGGAAATATGAGGGGCTGTTGTAACATGTGTCCTGTATTCAATACAAGACACATTTACACATCCAGGAAACTTGCTTGCAGGAGTGAACAGTCTGAGCAGCCAATGCACTGACATAGCACCTTTGCAGAGAGACAAGATAGGTCAGGGCTGTTCTCTTTACAGCAGAGAAGGCAGAGGTGTGTGGTGAGAGATGTGATTGAGGTCTACAAAGTTGAGGGGCATGGATAGGGAGAAACATTTCCCCTTAGAGGGGTGAATGACCAGGGGACACAGTTTTTAAGATTTACAGGGGATTTGAGGAAAATGCTTTTCACCCCAGAGCATGATGGCTATCACTGCCTTAAAGGGTGGTAGAGGCACAAAAAGACATTTAAGTTGTATTGAGATGAATACCTGGAATGCCACAGCATATAGGGCTATTGGAAGGGCTCCTGTAGCACAGCTGCAATGTCCTTTCCTTTAGGCCAGGAGGCCATGGGTTCAAATCTCCAGAGAAGCTGAATGGGCTGGTACAAAAATATCTACAAAGACCACGAGCTGGAAAATGGGATTAAAAGGAGATAGATGCATAATGACGAGCCAGACAGAATGAGCCGAAGGGCCATTTCCTCTGCTGTTACAATTTCAAGACAGCCCAAAGTGCCAGGCTATCAATGAAACACTTTGGAGCTGCAACCACGGGAGCCAATTTATACCCAGCAACACCCTACATCCAGCAGAGAAGATTATGAGTAGATCATCTGTTTCTATGATGTTGGTTGAGGGATAAATGCTGGTCAGGATACTAGAGTGAACTGAACAGTGTCAGGGAATCTTCTGCAGCGTCTTAGGGGACAGCCCTCAGGTTTAACTTCTCTTCCAGCTAAGATCGTGGTCACGATTCTGCAGTGGGCTTTGACTTCATTACTTAGAGATAGCACAGCAGCTAGTTTTTAGAGATTCCAATGTCATGCAGGGATCCTGTACTGAATGAGCAGAGAAGTCCTCTGTATATTGAGGCTTGTGTTTGCAGGCTGTTTCCACGAAGTTTCCCAATGACCAACTCTATCTCTGGCCACTGAACAGAGGTTCACCCAAGCCATTCACAAACTGATGGCCTTGTCTGACCTCAATGAGCTTCCAACCTCTATCACTGAGACGGCCCACTTCTACATGTAACACTGTTTGAGTTTGTCCTCTCCTCACTGCTCGCCTGGTTGGTCTTCCCTCTTGCACCTTCCATTATCCACTGCTCGTCCAAAACTCTGCAACGTGTCTCCCTCCGAGCCCCCTTCACACATCGCCCCTATATGCGCTGACCCATACTGGCTCTTGGATTGGCAATGCCTTAAAGTCCACATTCTTGCTTTCAAATTCTACACCTCTTCGAATCTATTACCTCCTCTGGCTTCACAACCTCAACAAGGTATCTGTGTTCTTCCCTGGGACGTCCCCTGCATCGATCACTGATGGCCACTCTGCTTTCAGCTACATGGGCCCTAAGCTCCGGAATTCCCTCCCTAAAGCCCCCTCTCCTGCTTCAGGATGCTCCTGAAAGATCTACAACCAGCCTGCTCAGCATCTCGTCCTGATGTTATCTTTGACAGCTCTGTGTTTGATTACACTCCTGTGAAAGACCTCAATGTGTTTTAACGACGGAAAGGGTACTATATAAATGCAAGTTGTTCAACAACACACCCAATTAATAAACCCATCATCATATTACCAGCAGGTGAGATTAAAAGAGTCTTCTTTCCTTGCATTCTACAGATGGAGAGCATCTTTCTAGGGAATGCTCAGTCCCCTGAGATCACCAGGATTGGAGCTAACCAAAAAGGAATTCCTACATTGCACCTTGTGTTTTTGTTTGCCTCTTCCATGAGATGCAGTGGGGGGAGGAGGGTTATTGGCAGCAAGTGTCTGGCAGTTAGTGCCAGCGTCAGTATACCAAGCCTTTTGGTCTTGTGTTGACTGTTGGATGGTGTGTGGAGAGCATTCAGGTACATAGTGAGGTGGTTCAGAGCAGTGAAAACAACAGCAGCCTGTTCCAAAACACGTGTTCCATCAGGAGCCATACAATATGTGGGTCGTTAAAGTTATGCTGCAATTAAAATTAAGGCCCAAATTATTTTTAATTAATTTAGCAAATTCCTAACTCCATATGCTGTCTGATCCCCTAACTGAACATTAATTTGTTTAAAAATTCTTTTGGCTTCTCGCCAGTATTCTCTAGATTTTGGTTCTTTACCATCACCATCAGCGCCTCACCGAAGGATCCACTCTTCATTGTGGAGGCTTGGTTGGATGAGTGGAGA